TCTGCCTCAAGGTACTGTCTAGTTCTCAGAAACTATTCCACTTTCTGCTTAACAGAACCCAAAGTCCAGGAGCCCAAGGGACCCAGTTCTGAAGTCTGCTGACCCCTGGTAGTACACACGCAGCCTAAGAACATATTACTAGGTGAAGAAGAGAATCCGAACTGGTTTTCCAAGCCAAAGGCAAGAAGACCAGCCAGCAAGGTCCAGAATGGAAGCAGTAGTTTGATTAGAGTTCCTTCAGTTCCCCTCAGGCAAGCAGCCATGAAATGCCACACATTTCAGCCTCAAAGACTCCCCCCCCCCTTAATTAAACATATACATGCATATTTTGAACAGGGAAAATGCGTTATCTTGCCCTGGCTAAATGTAATCTCAGTGCTAGCTAAATTAGTTTCATGAAAACAGCAATCAAGCCAGGGCAGACTCAGAAACAGGGTCAACGGAACATTCACCAAGATTTAGGAAAAGCAACCTGGGAACGTGTTTTTGCAGAGTCTGTCAAGGCTATTCTCTTAAGTCCAGGAAAGATACCGCAGCCTCAGAATCTGTGGTCTTCATGCATCTGACCTAGCGGGCTTTGGCCCATAAGAGCTTATGCCGGAATAAGTCCGCAAGCCTTTCAGAAGCCACAAGGCTGCCATTTTAGCCTCACGAAACCTCTTCTTCAGCTTCCCAGAAGACTCAGCAAAGGTCTCTTTTCAACTCCATTCCAAATTCACAGCCCAGGCAAGCCTCTCTGTGCTGAAAGGGCTGAGCCTGGAGCATGTGCCAGGTCAGGCCACTGCCAGGCTGACAGAGGTGGGGGGGGGGCTACCTCAGTGCGTCTGAATTCCTGCCTGAAGGCACAGCTGGGGGTGGGGTGGGGGGCTGAGAAAGCACAGCACAGGGGGAAATGTCAGCAGCCTCCAGCTTTTTTAGGGGAACCTCTGAGTCCTCAGCTGCAAGGATCTGAAAACAAAAGACTCAGACCTAGGAAGACCATCTCTTACGCCAAGGATTACAGGCAGGCGAAGCTGGG